AATAATCATTATATTTAGAAACTCACTTATATAAATGAAATTATGATTAATATGTATAAGTCTATTTACATAATAGTTGAATATAATAATAGTATATTTACTAAATGACCAAAAACACGAGTTTCAATCATTTTTTAGTACAATATAATAAGAAAAGACAAGATTAACCGAGGTTGTTCAAACAAGCATAAGACAACTAAAAGGTATTACCGTAGCAATTGGGGTTATGGACTTTCAGTTTATGGAGGGTAGTATGGGACTCGTAGTCGGGGAGAAAATTACCCGTTTGATTGAATATGCGAAGTTGGGATCATAAAAGTTAGTTGAGAAATTGTGAAATTGGATTTTATTAACAGTGCAACTCTCGTACTTTGCCAATGTATAACTCACAAATTGTAAGTCGTAATAAGCTCGTATCTTGCAACCACTTTCATGAAGGGGCGAAAGTCGGTTATGACTCTAATTGGCTCGAAACAGTGTGTTTTCGAGGTTGTTTACATTGTATTTGAGATTAATTTTTTTTTTTGTAAAACTCGTATAAATTATATGGATAATCAAAATGAGGTGGGTAGATTCATATATCAAAGGTAATACTGATTCTTATTAATTTAATATATAAATGTGATCATCGATTCATTTAGCTAACTTCAATAATTTTAAAAAAATTATCGTCATCGCGCAACGTGCAATGTCAAACACTAGTTAATTATATAAATTTAAAATAGAGCTTTAATAAAACATACTTACACACAATTTATTTGTAATCTTAAATTTTAATTAATATGCATTAAGAAACAATACTTTATGCATAAAAATGTTTTTTAAGAGTTGTTGTCAAATGTTTTATAATATAGTATAGATAATATTAAATGTATTTATATAAAAAAAAAAATCTGATGTGTTTGTTAGCATTTTTTAAACATTTAAGTGATAATTGAATATGTTAAAAAGCGAAAACTAAAAAAAGTTGATTTACACGTCATTCTTATTTAGGTACAAAAAGTAAATAACTTTTTGATGTTAAAAATTATTTTCATAAAAGATTCGATATTTTAACAATTAATTTAATTGAATCAAAATAATTAAAGATTAGTAACATAATAAATTAAGATTTAATAAATAAAAATACAAATAAACTATTGCAATATATATTAGTGATAAAATTAAGGGGTTGTTTACCTAAATGTTTATCCGATAAGCGTTTTTACCGTTATGAGTCAATACTATAATTTATTTTTCTAGGTAAAATTGTAGTATATCAAAATGATATCGAGTGCAACAATATATATGGTAAGTGCTTACCAGGGTAAGAGTCGTCACCCTCCCTTACCGGGTAAGATTCTCTATCCTTATCATCACTCTTACTAGGTAAGATTCTTGGGTCTTGCCATGCTCATCCAGTGAGAAAAATTGCCCGATAAGCATTTATCAGATAAACGTTTAGTAAACGACCTATAAATAAAATTAAATAATTATCATTCATCTTAAGTGTATGTAATAATAATATTRTATAAAACAAATTTATATTAGTAATATTAGAATTATATAATAATATTCATGGTTATTGTTATATGATAATAAAAAATAATTAATCATGAATATAATAATAAGATAGAAGCAAAATGGAAGAAAAGATGAGGTTTGTTTTTTAAAAGACACTGAAGTCTAAAGTTTTATTTCACTTCTGATTAATAAGAGGTGGTGTTGACATCTAAAATCTGAATCAACAAGAATGTTTGTTTTTTAAACCAATAAATGTCTGAACTTGTTTAAATTGTTTATTTTACCTATTAGAAAATTATAGTGTTGCATTTATAGACAAATTTATACATTTCACATATTTATTCATCATCATTACAAAATTTACATCTAAATTATATAATTAACATTCATTTAAATGAAAATACGTCATTAACGGTATTTAAATCCTATTAAAATACATCAATTGAAATAGGTGAGCATCGATTGTGAGAAATGATCGATTAAGATTAATCGATTGAAAAACGTCATTGCTAAAAATTTGGAGAATAATAAAATGTTGGTTTACATTTTATCAGATAAAAAAAAGATAAGACATAAATATCTCTAAAAGATTGAAAAAAAACAAACAATTTAAATGATCCAACCTCTTAAAAAGTCAGATATAAAAGACTGATAAGAAATAATAATATTACAATAATGGTGAGTAGAGTCCACRTAGCAACACGCATGCTTTATATATAATAGTAGTAGTCGGTTGTGATCCAAAACAGTTCCCAAATACTTTTGTGGTCCAAAGTGAGTGCATATATAAACCCCTTTCTCAGCCTCAATCACTCCTCACCCACTCAGGATCATCTCAACAAAAAATCGAAAACGCACAACCACAGCGACGGAAATGGAGAACACCAAGCCAACGGAAACCGCCAGCTCCAAGATGTTCGAAGGATTCAACAAAAGATACAAACATCACTCCTCCACCTTGGGTTGCTCCATGAACTTCTACATTTACTTCCCTCCCTCAACTTCTCCTTCCCAAAAATTCCCTGTAAGCTACTTCACCGATAACGCTATTGATTTACTTTCAGTATCACGTTGATCCTTAAAATTTGTTGTATGTTTAGTTGTTTATTGTTTCTTAATTTGCGAAATTAGTGTTRATGATCGTTGTTTTTTCTACTATTTTGGTCTAGGGTTTTGGATTAGGCGGTTTGTGCATTTTAGTAAATTCTATCACTTTCATTGATGTTAGTTCTTCTTAGATGTTTAAGTATAATCACTAGGGGGATCCTTGTTAATATTCCATCAAATATGTGCACAAAAGCATATATATATATACAAATACATATATTATTTTCTTCTGTTTGTGTTTGGAAATCAGTAGCGGACTAGGTTCTTTAACAGGAGAATGCTTTACCATTACAGAAATGTTATGTTTACAGAAAATGATGTAGTTATGCAATACCATTACAAAGTTCTTTCTTTCTTTATTTTTTTATACTACAAAAGGTTACAACTTTTCTTTAGGATATTCATGCTCATACCCTTCCATGGCTATAGTTCCATCTCTGTTGCAATTTTTTTTTTCTGTTTTAACTTTAATATTTGGTTATTATTTAGGTACTTTACTGGCTCTCCGGTCTTACTTGCACTGATGAGAACTTCATAAGTAAGTCCGGTGCCCAGCGAGTTGCTTCAACTGAAGGTATTGCATTGGTTGTTCCAGATACATCTCCAAGTAAGTTGGCCTTTTTTCTTGAAACAGTTTCATATATGTGGTTTTTACATTTCTTGTCTCAGGTTATTCCAGTAAGCTCAGTACTCCCTCCGTCACAAAAAAKATGCAATGCCACGGCCACKTATAGTTTAATGAAAGCCCTACAATGCCACACATAGTTTAYATCCTCACCTTTGGTGAGGTGTGAAACTTGACCTCCTGGGAGGCTGGGCTCTACCGGTAACCCGAATACTGCTAGAAAGTGTTGCAATTATTTTTGGATGGAGGGGGTATATGGTATCTTTTCTATGTCCTCTTTGCTTTACCTTCTAGGAGAGAATTAGCTTAACTAGGTCTTGCTGTCACTTRGTTTTCTGAAGCTCTTGTGTATGTGTACATTACCCTTTTTAATGCACTCTAATTACTTAAAAGAATGTTGCCTATTGGTTTTTGATGTTCAACAGCGACATATAATTTAAAACTTATTTGCTTTGGAATTAGTGGATGAGTTTCGAAATAAGTACCTAACCAAGTAGTTCTGCACGGTGGTCTGATATGGGTTCAGTGTTGCTAAAATAGACTAATTCTTCCGATTGATTAAGCAAAAATATTACTGTTTGAAATGACCTCAGACCACCTTCAGAAACTAGTGAATTGAATAAGCTTCGACTGTAACAGGTATTAATCTACAGTTCCTAATGGACTGAGTATATATGTAACCAGAGATTTAAGATTTATTGCCTATATGCAGTGACTTCAAACTTGCTTTTTTTATATCAGTTCACGTACGAATATAAATTATTGTAAAACCAATGTTGAGGTTTATGTTCTATCCTCTTCAGATTCTTTCTTCTTTTTGGGTCATGTGATGATTCTGGAATTTAATGCTTAATAATGACCATTGAAACTAAAAGTACTATGAATATGAACAATTACGGAATTACAATAATACTTATASTGAGATCATGGAAAACTTGATTTTCAAATTGAAAGGAACATTGTGGTGGTTACTGTACCTTAATCTAGTCATGACTGACTGGATTTTGTTTCATTTGAGATATATATATATATATATATATGTGTGTGTGTGTGTGTGTATATATATGTATATATATAGGCAAAGGATCGTGTGAGAAGGGAAGTTACAGTGAGAATTATAAGAAGAGATCATATCCCTTGATCACTTTTAATCTCATGCCCACCCATGAATTGCGCTTTAGAAAGGAATTGATCCGCTGCATCTCGGTGCAACTCATTAGTGTTGACATTCAATTAGGATTGATCCAAGGGTGGAGATCTCTTCTTAAGCTTCTCACCATTACTTCCCTTCTCACCGGAACCCAACCCTATATGTATAGGGTCAGGTTCAGGGGAAAACCGCAAAAAAAAAAAAAAAAAACAAAGGAACACCTTGGTAACCGTTCATCTGGATGGTATGCACATGTGCATTCAAGTAATTTGTCTGGTATGAACATGTGCACAATATGCACACGTGCGTAAAAACCAAAAAACAACTTTAATTACTTGTATGCACGTGTGCATTCCGTCGTCGGTCACCAGGGTGTTCCTCATATTTTCATTTTTTTGGGGGTTTTCCCCTGAACCTCCCTCTATATATTAAATTTTAAGGCTTGTGTTTTTATGATTGCAAGTCATGGTAGATGGTACTTTGTGATTATGCTTGTTGTAAAACCCAWTTACTGACCAACTCTTTTGTGCCTGTCTGTCTGATATAGGAGGCCTGAATGTGGAGGGAGAAGCAGACAGCTGGGATTTTGGTGTTGGTATGTTACGGGAAATCAGAAACTGCATCTGCTGCATGTATTTGGTTGCCATTTTAATTGCTTTTATGAGGAATAAGTTGACAAGATTGATCACCCTGGGCAAAGAATTATGTTACAAAAGTAGTTGATTCTTTCATTACTTTATACAATCAATTTATGCAGCAGTGCTACCTACTCTACGTTTTTGGTGCTGATATAGTTTGTCTGCATAGATGGCTGTCTTTGATTGAGGCGTTACTCTGACATCTCCAATTTTGATGAATTGGCTGTTGGCATTTTATGGTGCATTGATGTATATCTGCTGCTACTGTATTTGGTAATTTATATGATTCTTGTGGGATCTATGCTACCCAGTTTCTGATGGAGAAGCATCCCAGATATGTCCTTAACTTGCTTCTAAGTAATTGTTCTACTATTTTGTTGTTGTRTGTGCTTGCTTGTATCATGTCTCATGATAAGTTTCTAGGTCATTTCTCATGCACCTGTCAAATTGCTTAGATGGGTATTTGATGCATTTTGAAGTTTCCATGTAACAGAAAGCGATGTGCCTTTCCATCTTAAACTGCCCATGTGTTCACCAGTTTGCCCTAACTAATGTTGATGCAATTTTACCGTGTGYATTTCTTTATCAATCCTGCGTACCAACCTCACAATCATTTGTGATCCTAGCATAATTCATCGTCTAAAGCTGTCTCAATTTGCTAATGGAACTTTAAGATTAAGATTAACTGTATGCATCACTAGAACACTCATCCTTGCATAGACTACTCTTAGAAAAGTATTCAGTTTGCAATCACAGCAGTCAACTCATACAAACAGACAACTGAAGCATATGAACCAGTCATAAAGTTCAAAGATTACACTACTAGTTGATGTCTCTATATCTCTTCTCGATGCAACAAATAACCGCAGCTTCACAAGCAAGAAGTTTGACTTGATTTTTTTTTACCCAAATAGCAAGTCTAATATTGACTATGCTTCGATATGTTGATTCAAATGCATGGTAGATTTGTGAAGTGCAGTTTGCATGCTGACATATATGGATCCGTTGACATCTAAGCTTTGTAAATTTAACCTTGAAGACATAGACAAGCAGTCAAGATTSACAATTATATTATGTACTTGTGATTTGACCTGCATATATTTAAATCAGGTGCTGGCTTTTATCTTAATGCTACTGTGGAGAAGTGGAAGAACTGGCAGATGTATGATTACATAGTCAAGGAACTTCCAAAGCTTCTTAGCGACAACTTCCCACAGCTTGATACATCAAGAGCATCTGTAAGTGGTCACTCTATGGGTGGACATGGAGCGCTTACAATCTATTTGAAGAACCTGGACAAGTACAAGGTATTCTAGATCAGTAGATTGTCCTATGCTGAAACTGATGGTGTTGTATACTGTTTTTGTGATTTTTTAAAAGGTTGAAATACACATCTTGTTAGCAATGAGTCTAGAACCCAAAACCACCTATTAAAAAAACTCAGTACTGCAATGCTTTGAGTGTATTAACAAGCCACATGATGCGCTTTTTATCTTATGTTGGAGCTATCAAGAAAGTTAAACTTTGCCATCTCTTAGTACCTGTAATTGGCAAATTTGGTGTGGCGATGGGTTATATCAAGGAAGTTGAAGTCAAAAAACCTCTTTGTTTTACAATCTTTTGCATTGGGAAGAATTTAACAAAAGAATTATTGGAACTTGCGTAATAAAAACGCCTAGCTATTGGCAGCATTATGATGTTTACTTTGATTACTTTGCTCATCTTTTTCTTTTTTTCTTCTTAATTTGTCTTTTTGCAGTCGGTGTCAGCATTTGCACCCATTGTAAATCCTATCGACTGTSCATGGGGCCAAAAGGCTTTCACAAACTATTTGGGAGACAATAAAGCTGCTTGGGAGGTATATTTCCGATTATACTTKTTGCGTTCAGTGTAACAAGAAACAGGTTCTCACATTAGTAGCTCATCATATGCAGGAATATGATGCCACTTGCCTGATATCGAAGTTCAATGATGTTGCAGCTACAATCTTGATTGACCAGGTACAAATTGATCCATTTCATTTAAAATAATTGGAAAGTCGTGTTATATCTTTACTGTTCCATTTATCCCCCCCCAGAATGGCTTTATAATGGTTTCAGATTAATTGGCATTGGCGTAATTGACAAAATAACCTCTGAACTAAACCGATTGTTCTATAAATGTTATAATTAACCAGCTATTATTTTTTGTATAAATAACCATTGAGACATGAATTCCATGATGATCTTAACTTTTTAAGCACCTTGGCTTTTATTCATCTCCAACTAAAATCACCTTCCAATTGATCAGAGGAAAAAAGTAATTAAGAGTTCCATCGATCATCATAAACAGGATYGGAGCTTTCCTGTAGGGCTATCTGCCATGGCTGCTTCAAGATATCTTGAAGTTCATATTAGCCCCTTCAAAGTTTTAGATGCTGCCACTTAGCCCTAAAAATAATGTTCTGTTTACRTATAATATTTATGTAACCTCACCTTYTTGAACCCTTGACCTCCAAGAAGGTTGGGATCTACTTGTAACCTGGATCCTGCTTGGCCATTCACCCTTTGGTAGTCCTAAAATTGTTTGTGTTAWATGAAATCCAACATAATTGGTTCATATATAATTATATACTGATACGAACACATATTGCATCTTTTCATGTAAACCGTACATTTTATAGATTTTGTTTTATTTTATAGTATGTTAAATTATTTTGTGCCCTGCTCAGAGAATTTGCTGGACCTGCCTCTATCGATCTTATAAATTTTCTAACATTTCAATCCAGGGAGAGGATGACAAGTTTTTGCACGAGAAACAACTATTGCCAAACAAGTTTGACGAGGCATGTAGGAACGTCAAAGCTCCTCTCCTCTTGCGCATGCAGCCTGGTTACGATCACTCTTACTATTTCATAGCCTCTTTCATAGACGACCACATCCGTCACCATGCTCAAGCTCTTAACCCGTAAGCTTTTAAAGCATGCCCCTTGATCTTGTTATGAACATGATAACTTAAAACTCGAGAGAAACTTGTCGGGTTCGGCTTCTTTTGTCCGAATCTGATGAAAATGTATKGTTTTAGTATTATATTATGCATGAATCAGAAAAGATTGCACCTGGGCCATGTTTATTTAATGGTTGAAGAGTTGTGAACTTGTCTGATGTTTATATWAAATGATGAGATGTTTCTTTCTTAGAGATGCTGCTGGTTTATTATCTTGGTAGGTCAAGGGTGGGGAATTGCAGAATTTGAGTGGGAGGAGTTACGGATGCTGCTTGGATTGCTTTTTAATATCTGATSTTTATGCTTTATTCATGTGTCTSTCTCAAATCTTATTCTATGGTTCAGTGAAAATTKGTACTTCTTCTATGCCCACAAAGGGGATTTTKATTCCTCTTTGGATTTGAATCTGAGACCTCMTGGTACTTTTAACCTTTGGAGCCAAGCTCAAACCAATCAGRCACCACYYTTGTGGTTATATAGGTCCCTTTCTGGTATAGTCCAATCTAGTTGCGTAGTTTCATTCTGGTTCGTCGTCTTTCTTGGTTCAAACCGAGATCTGCATAACCTATGGACGAGTGTTGAGAAGAATATCCAACTTCATAGACTGTGGAAGAAGGGTTTGTGATGTACACCCGATCAAAACAGTAAAAATCAATGGTAAATCTGATTGGTTGTATTACTCACAATCGAGTGCTCACAATAGACCACGGTACCAAGTGTTAACTGCCCTTTTATCATAGGTATGAAAAGTGTTGTAGAAGTGATGGCCCATTTACAATGGTGGGAATGRGTTTTTATGGTTAAATGGTGTTACCGTTTGAAA